GGGGGGGGACAGGGGGGGGGGGGGGGGGGGTTGGGCCCCCCCCCCCCCCCACGACCCCCCACTCCCTAAATCCGCCAAGGCATGTAGGCCCTGGCCCCTACTACATCACACATTGTAGCTTTCCATTGTTGCATGTCATACATGAAATCAAGGTGGTGACGGTGGTGGTTGTTGGGGGGTGGGGGGTGGGGGTGGGGGGGGGGAGGGTGGACATAAGTCAATGATATTAAATTACAAAAATGAGGGCTACCCTATCTGTTATATAAAATTGGAAAAATGATACCAAATGCTGTGAAAGAGAAGCATATGCACTGAATCCATGCATCATATATAATTATTGAAAATTCAAGATCATGAAATTCAAACTAGGACCATTTATTAAGTAAAAGGCCTCATGGTGACTTAATTAAATCACCTGCATTAGTACGTGATTCAAACCTGATGCTTTTTTAGCAACACTTCAATAATTTTTATGTTTTGTCATTTATTTGTCTGCCCATTTGATTTATACCTTTGCCTTGTTTCATAACTAGGAAAGGATTTTATTTTCATTTTGCATTTTTGTTGGGCTACTCACTGTAATGATCTACTGTAGGCCTATCTTCTCCTTTTTGTTTCCTTTTGTTCTTTGAGCAGGGGCGGATCCAGATATATTTTCTGACAGTCTTTCAAATTATCTTTATTGATCCATATCCTCCATTTTTGACCATCTTCCGACAGAAAAAAATTAGATACCCGTCGATGTAAACTTGAAAATCTGACCGTCTTCCAGAGGACCCACAAGACGGCCTAAATCCGCCCCTGGTCATGTGACATAAAAATCTAGCTGTCATGAATTTGACAGATAAGTTTTTAGTTTTAAATACTTCAATTTCTGTGCCCAGTGACCGATATGTTAGATACATCAGGAGTGATTTTTCATTCAGAAAAAAAAAGAGTGCTGTACATCACTCAATTGCTTTCTATATTTTATTGATTAAACAAAATGAACAACAGGGAAGAAGTGCCAAGTGGAAAAGGCCTTCATGTGGACACCACTATAGTTTGACTTCATTCATGTTTAGTTAGCTTTATATATGATGGCCCATGGTATTTGATGGTCCATGGGATACTATCTATAATGAAGTGACTCGAGTAGCCGGTAGTTTGAGAGACCATGTGCTCTTTATTCTGTCTGTACTAACTTAAGTGTATAACTGATGATGTAAACTCTACACATAAGATATAACACGGGCATGAAGTTAAACTACTACATTACACTATCCGATACTGCTGTCTTCCACTAAGTCCAACTGCCACGAAGATTTCACAAGAACGTTATTATTTCTGCTTAGATATATGGAACAGAGTCATTGTGCTAATCCCTTGTGCAATTTCAACCACACACCATGCTATTTTATTGTTGTCAGTGTTGTGGGCATAAATTTTCCTACAAAATCTTACAGAATTCTTACTTCTAGGGATCTGACCCTCAGGGGGCGTCTCGATAGTCCGAAGGTTCATTGGTCCGAAGGTTCATTGGTCCGAAAAGTGGTAACATTTTCGTCGATTTTTTAATCAAGGGTTCATTGGTCCAAAGGTTCTATAGTGAACATTCAGACCAATGAACCTTCGGACTATTGAACCTTCGGACTATCGCTACGGCCCCGACCCTCAACTGTATGCCTCCAGAGCTTAATCTGTACTATAGCTGATCTCTACTGTTAGAATTCGAATTCCTAATATCTGTGTTAAATATGAGGAATGACAGATGCCCTGTCTTAATTTAATTGGCCAGCTTACCTGTCACTCACGCTATCTACTACAACTGTACTTTGATTTTTAACAAAGACAATACACATGGATATTTAAATAATTGAAAATGAAGACAATTGAAGCTGCCTTTCTGATATCGTTGCAATAGGATATAGTAATCCTCTTATTGATATATTACAACTACATTGTTACAAAAGCTAACTGCATGGTTGGACATACCATTCATTTAGAAGGACATTGGTCCGTCCACTTATACCACCAGATATCTTTAACCCGTGATGCTCTTTAAAATCCCATCAACTTAAGTCATTTTAACTTAGACCAGTTATCTCTAGCAATAGGTCACTGTTTGAAAAGCTTGATGTGTGCTGACTGTCATATTTATTTTTTAATAAAAAAAGAAATTTTATTAACTAAGAAATAAATGCTAAATGACTAAGAAATAAATAACACTAAATAACTGTTATAATTTCATATGTCAAAGTGTGCCTTTATGCAACTTGCATGTTTAAGTTTTATCTTAAGGGCATTCTAAGAAAACAATTGCTATGACTAAGTTGATATTTGGACTATGAGATATTTAGGAGCTGACTGCAGGTCTGTATATCAGACTCATGGATTAGAGGTATTAATTTGAACTTCAAGATGAATCCCTGAATTAAGCTGGAAGAGGGATAAGAGCTTGGCATTCAAAATTTAAAAGCACTGTGGTAACTCATATTGTGAGAGAAAGGTCTACATTTAGTTTACTTTCAATTTAGAATTGGCATTTGGTCTTCAGGATAATAACGCCGTGACCGGCAGATCCAGGATGTTGATAAGGTGACCCAGTCCAACCACGTACAGCTTGCTTTATTGAGAAGTTTTTGCAGCAGCTAGGGCACAATCAGGGCAGGAGTATTGTAATTTAGTTGTTATTCCATTACAGATGACATGATGAGGACCATCCATGTGTAATATGTATTAGAAATAGAAAATGGATTCCCAGCTGATGAGGTAATAAAATCATGTAAAAATTGTTGATTTTTTGGCTGAAATTAACATTACTGAGTTATGAACTTGTTTGCAGAGTATTAGAAGCAGTTTTATTCACTTTAAGCTTGTGGCAAATATTTAGTTCATTTATAAGACAATAATGTGTATCTGTACATTTGACAAGTTGCATTTATTTTTAGTTGACAAAGGCAGGCTGTAGGTCACTGGGGATGATGAGGCTGTTGGCTGCCCTCCAAATTATAGCAGTAAGTTTGTGTATTCTTTGTCACGGAATTATTTAAGAAATGAGTCAAAGTATGAGAATTTTTCAAAAAAATCAAACAATAGTTTCAAATCATACTTCTATTTAAGTTTGAGTCTTTATAAATGCTTGGACCATAAAGTCCCAGACATTAATTTAAGCCACTTAAACTGAATGCAATTTAGCAAGAATCCTCAAGGAGTTGGATCGATCCAACTAGTATAATAGTCTGGGGTGGCGCTAGCAATTTTTTTTGTTTAGCCAAATTACCACTTTTTCATTGCTTTTTTGTCCAAATGGTTTAAATTTGACTAAAATAAGTCATATCAACCCCATTTTGTTTAGCCAATTTCAGTCACTTTTAGCATTTGGCTAAATTGGTGAGTGTTAGCGCTACCCCAGATAGTATATAGTATATAGTATCATACTGAGGTCTATGTGAACACCTATTTTGTGTTCATCCTTGAGTTACTGATCTTAAAAGTCGTGTCTCGGTTAAGCATATTATTTTATACTGTATTTTCTATTTCATATTGCTTTCAAGGTGTATGTATATTTGACTTGTCACGTACAAGCTCAATTTTTTGTTGAAAAGAGCCAGTGTCCATTTTGGTGAGTACACATGGATCAAACTGATATTTAATAATGAAAAAAATTACACATGCATACACACACATGTACTAATATAATATAATATAATATAATATAATATAATATAATATAATATAATATAGAAATATGCAATATAAAACTCCACCAGGCTGATATTTTTCCATTGTTGATTCCAAAATTAAATCATCTACCAAGTAACAATACATTAGCTATGAAATTGCCCTAGCTTCTAGATAATTCTGCAAAGCAAATACATATAGTATGTGACTTTCAAACTTTGAAGGGCTCCAAACATTATACCTTAGGATATAAATTAAGTACAAATCCCAGTTTGTCAAATTTGACTCTGGCAAATACACATTGTTAATAGACCCAAAACACTTCTCGGGTTTGGCCTGTATATTATATCTAATTAAATGCAATTAATGATTATACTTTTCCACACTCAACATATCAAATAGTGACAAAATAAGTTAAAGTAGGCAATTGTAGCCTTGTTATACCATACTCTGTAATTCAAACAATTTAACTTTGTATTTTTTTTTTCTTCAGGATGTACAATGACACTACTACTCCAGGTGGTGGATGTAAATTCTGTAAAGTCTGTAGGGTGGATGCTCAGGGAATTATCACACAGTCTGACAAGGTGCTAAATAGAGAATGTACCATGATACCGAAGGAGCACCATTTGATACTGATGACTGGAGAAACAAGATCACGACCACTGTTTTGCAGTGAGGGAGAAGATGCAAGTACGTAAGCAGAATTATTGTTCTAAACCTAGATCCTCAGGGTACTAATGGAAGGTGAACCTAAATGTTTATAATTGATTTTGATTAATTGATTCATCATTATCTTAATCTTTTTATGGTAATTACTCAATATTTTCAGTAGGCAAAAAAATGATCAATCATAATTTTATAATCACATAAATTATATATATATATATATATATATAGCATTTGTGGTGCTTTTGCTGCATAGCATAGAACTATAGAGTATCTATAGAATTGTCTTTTTATGTATTGTCTTTTTTCCTGCCCACCAACTATGTACATTTGTAGTTGAGGGAAGATGCGTAAAGTGCATAAAGGTTGACTTTTCCTGGTAAGAAGAGATGCAACCAATGAAGCAGTGATAATTCAGCCTGCTGAAATCATACTGTGAAAGATATGACCACTTTTATATAAAACACGGCTTGACATGGAGGGAATTCAGCTAGAAGTCCATATTGGCTTGTATTTTAAATCCATAGAATATTGATAAAGGCATTGCTACTAATAGAATAAATAAAAGAATTGTTGGCAGACATTTATAATCACCCACTTTTATCTCCAGAATGTGAAGACATCAACTATGTCTACCCTGTTAAAAATGGCGCCTGGAAGTGCGATAACACACTGGATCCCACCTGGTACTTCACCAACTGTACACTGCAGTGTGATGGAGGCTATGAACTTCAGGGTACACCTACAGTCCAGTGTGGATCTAACTTGACATGGGGGAATGACATTCCACGCTGTAAACCAGGTAGTGTGTCATTTTTTTAAATTTTAATATATATTTTTAATTAAATATACTGAAAATGAAAACCTTGAACATTGGAATACATCTAGACAACTTGGCAATGCTCATTTGGAGAGGTTGTGAAAGCTGATAATCTTTCTTAAATAAAGGGTCATTCTCAGGAAGGGGGGTGCTATGCTCTCTTTCCCTCAAAACTATTTGTCTGTAGACATGTCAAGCAGACATATTCTCAATAAATAAATAAATGAATAAATAGAATTAATATTTATTTTGAGTCTAAAGACCAAATTCGTTCAGTAGACCTTACAATACCTAGTGAAAAAAAATTTTAAAAGCTCGTAAAAATTGATTAAAACAAGAAAATTGATTAAAACAATTATTGTAGAAATTAAAATGTTACTTGATCACTCACTTTGAAAGTCATTAATAAAAATTCTATTCAATTTTTTTTTAATAGATATATCTTGAAAGCCTCAGTCTATCTTTTGGCATGCCTGCTCTGGCAGGGGCAAAATTATTGCCTGCATTTCAAGGTTTTTACTGTGAATCAGTATTTGTTTAAAATATTTGAATACTTTATGACAAATGCTATTTGAAGGCTTGGAGTTTTTTGTACAAATATCTCACAATGCATAATATTGAGAAACATTCTTGTTTCAATTGTTTGGATATTTAGAGAATGTTACATAAAAATATCTAAGATGGATCTCTATATAAAATTGATCTCATCATAATGAAGATAATTAGATATTATAGATCAAGAATCTCTAGTTTTAAAGTTGTGACCCAGTCTTAAAAAAAACAAAACAAATTTATGCAACATTCAGTTTATTCTCTAGTACCCACCACTGCTGTTGCCATGACAATAGAGCAGGGGAAAGATGTTCCAGGTATAGTTTCCCATTATTAAACACTCATTATTTTTATTTTTTGTGTATAATATAATTGGTACTGATTGAGTGATTATTTTACTGTACAGTATATGTACTCTTCCCTAATATACTGATAACTTCTTCACATGTTAGACATCATGCACTCACTCAAATATCTTATCCTTTGTACTTTACTAATGTATTTATTTATGTATTTCTGGGGTAGCGCTAGCAATTCTTTTGGCTTAGCCAAATCACCACTTTTTTGTCAATTTGTTATCAAAATGGTTATAATTTGACTAAAACAAGTCAAATCAGGCCCATTTTCTTTAGCCAATTTAAGTCAGTTTTAGCATTTGGCTTAATTGGCGAGTGTTAGCGTTACCCCAGTATTTGTTTACGTTTTGCAAAATAAATAAATAAAACATATAATGCTGTTACTTATCTTATCCAGATTGGGTCAATCCTATGGCTGTGGCTGTGGCTGTCCTGGTCATTATCCTTCTGACTGTCCTAGCTTACTGTAACAGACAGAGAATAAAGAAATTGTGGGGTCAGCTTGATCACTGTGAGCACCGTTACTTTGGCAAGTGCAAGGAGTGCCTGATGCCAGAAACTGTATCTCAGCATACTGTAGAAACGGAGCCTATGCTACCGGGTAGGTGACTACCACACAGTATTCATATGTGTGAATAATAATAATAATAATAATAATAATAATAATAATAACAATAATAGTAATAGTAAATGAAAATATTAAAAAAGTTTATTCAGTTACTGTATAAAGATATGGTGGAAAATGCATAAAGTATGAAAATTACTTTCCTAGATTATTGATAAAATTAGACTGAGATCCAAAGAAAAAGTTAGAAAGTCGTTGTCTAAAATGTGATAAAAAAGAGAGATGTACTTGCATGTAAACAAAAAAATCGGTTGCAACATCCCAATGTCAGTAACACATATATATGACAAAAAAGGTTGTAAATTAAAGCTGAATATAATAGAAATGCATCTTGTTTTGGGCCCAGGACAGTGGAAAACTGTTAGTCTACTTCTACCATTTTTTGTTATTTCATTCTTTTAAATTCTAGGTGTATTTCTTACTAAGCATTCAGAACCAGGGGAACGTAGTGATATGGCTCCAATGGGTAAGTATTAATTTCGTATTTTTTGTTTGTGTAATTCATATATGCAATGTTTCTTTTCTCAACTAATACAATGCTATAACAGAATGATTGTGCTGCCACATCTAATACAACAAAAAACTTCAGTTAATGCAGTGCTTTTTCTTTGAAACACAAAATGGCAGATTGGACCCTTGACTGTTACAAATAGGGCATGAGTCCCACAGATTGTTCACTTAAGTACCAAAAAACTTTTTAGGGAATTGGGGTGGCAGTGCAAGAAATGCACCCCTTTTTTTTGATAGCTTGTATCCAACATAACAATTCATGCTTAGCTTTTTACTTTGGATTATGATAAGAATGGAGAGTTTAGACAAAGCTTAATGGGACAGATTTTTGAAGTGTCTACACAATGATGGTAATTAAAAACACTGATGATTTATCTTTGATTGCATGTCAGTATAATTTCATAATTGGGTGATTGTTTAGTTAAAGTAATTTTAAGGAAAAAATCACAAATCTTTACACTAAAATGGAGTCTGTGGTCATTTACATATATACATGGGTCCATTGATTCATTATTATTGTTATGAATGAGACAAATTTTCAGGCATTTATTCCACGTTTGGTAATTCTTTCTCATTAGATTCAGTTGTCCTTGAAAATGAAAGAGAAGGCAGGGAATTAGCAACAGTGCATGGTGACTCCACCGAGTTGTCACACACTGCAGCCATTCCATTCCTGCACCAAAGCCAAGGTCAAACCCAAGGTCAAACTCAAGGTCAAGCCCAGAGTCATTCAAATTCAGATCCAAAAACAATTTACAACATATTTGGTGATAACTTAAAGCTCTGTTCATCTGGAAATGTTCAGGTTAATCAGACTTTGAACTTCACATATGAACAAAACAAGGTCACAGAGGTTGAGGACAATAAAAATGGCCACATGAACAAACTGGAAATGCTTGAGCTTAACGGGACAGGATCAGGCAGCATGGCTGCCCAGAGAGTATCTAACCCTGGGCTAGAAGAGCTGAAGAGCTGTGAGGACAACAATATGTACACGGATGATCAGTTGCATACTTTGAGTGGGCTTACTGGGTCCAGAATGACTGGCACTGCACAGCCAAATGTTCCCCTAGAAATGGAGAGATTGGACACGCCCAGGAAACTGCCTTCTGGTCAGTCAGACGAGGGCATTAATTTGAGTGAGAATGAGAGTGCACGCNAATAATAGTAATAGTAAATGAAAATATTAAAAAAGTTTATTCAGTTACTGTATAAAGATATGGTGGAAAATGCATAAAGTATGAAAATTACTTTCCTAGATTATTGATAAAATTAGACTGAGATCCAAAGAAAAAGTTAGAAAGTCGTTGTCTAAAATGTGATAAAAAAGAGAGATGTACTTGCATGTAAACAAAAAAATCGGTTGCAACATCCCAATGTCAGTAACACATATATATGACAAAAAAGGTTGTAAATTAAAGCTGAATATAATAGAAATGCATCTTGTTTTGGGCTCAGGACAGTGGAAAACTGTTAGTCTACTTCTACCATTTTTTGTTATTTCATTCTTTTAAATTCTAGGTGTATTTCTTACTAAGCATTCAGAACCAGGGGAACGTAGTGATATGGCTCCAATGGGTAAGTATTAATTTCGTATTTTTTGTTTGTGTAATTCATATATGCAATGTTTCTTTTCTCAACTAATACAATGCTATAACAGAATGATTGTGCTGCCACATCTAATACAACAAAAAACTTCAGTTAATGCAGTGCTTTTTCTTTGAAACACAAAATGGCAGATTGGACCCTTGACTGTTACAAATAGGGCATGAGTCCCACAGATTGTTCACTTAAGTACCAAAAAACTTTTTAGGGAATTGGGGTGGCAGTGCAAGAAATGCACCCCTTTTTTTTGATAGCTTGTATCCAACATAACAATTCATGCTTAGCTTTTTACTTTGGATTATGATAAGAATGGAGAGTTTAGACAAAGCTTAATGGGACAGATTTTTGAAGTGTCTACACAATGATGGTAATTAAAAACACTGATGATTTATCTTTGATTGCATGTCAGTATAATTTCATAATTGGGTGATTGTTTAGTTAAAGTAATTTTAAGGAAAAAATCACAAATCTTTACACTAAAATGGAGTCTGTGGTCATTTACATATATACATGGGTCCATTGATTCATTATTATTGTTATGAATGAGACAAATTTTCAGGCATTTATTCCACGTTTGGTAATTCTTTCTCATTAGATTCAGTTGTCCTTGAAAATGAAAGAGAAGGCAGGGAATTAGCAACAGTGCATGGTGACTCCACCGAGTTGTCACACACTGCAGCCATTCCATTCCTGCACCAAAGCCAAGGTCAAACCCAAGGTCAAACTCAAGGTCAAGCCCAGAGTCATTCAAATTCAGATCCAAAAACAATTTACAACATATTTGGTGATAACTTAAAGCTCTGTTCATCTGGAAATGTTCAGGTTAATCAGACTTTGAACTTCACATATGAACAAAACAAGGTCACGGAGGTTGAGGACAATAAAAATGGCCACATGAACAAACTGGAAATGCTTGAGCTTAACGGGACAGGATCAGGCAGCATGGCTGCCCAGAGAGTATCTAACCCTGAGCTAGAAGAGCTGAAGAGCTGTGAGGACAACAATACGTACACGGATGATCAGTTGCATACTTTGAGTGGGCTTACTGGGTCCAGAATGACTGGCACTGCACAGCCAAATGTTCCCCTAGAAATGGAGAGATTGGACACGCCCAGGAAACTGCCTTCTGGTCAGTCAGACGAGGGCATTAATTTGAGTGAGAATGAGAGTGCACGCAGAGGTTTCGAGATATCAGATAGCCATGCTGAACACCCAGCAGAAACATCAAATGAAAGTGGGATAGAAACGTCAGGCAACAGAAGTGGGACCCCAACTTGTGAAGTGAACCCTGCTGCATCAGGCAATAGACCATCAGGGCATATCCAGATCAAGAAAGCACGGCATGTTGAGATAGACAACAGCGTATACATTGAAACCGATGCATCACCTGCAGACATTTTTCCGCATATTAACCAAAGTGATGTGACTGTGGAAGGATCTGAACATGTGAAAATAAATAAAAAGATACACTTCAAGAAACCAGCCTCGGCTAAAAACTCAACTCCAGAAAGCAATATTAATGCTGCTGCACCATCAGCAGAGGGTGGCACCACTGTGTTAAATACCATGCCAGGTGGCACTGTTAGGCAGTCCAATACAGTCAGGTCAGAATACTTCACTGATTTTATTTTCAGTTTTTTTTCACTGGAAAAACTTTGAATTGGAGAATGCTTGTTCAAGATTGTTTATCTAAATTAAAATGTCATTGCCCAAACTTTTTATTTATTACATCTAGCTGTTGTAATTTTGTAGTCCTTTGTAATAGCTTTTTATTCTTTTGTGTGTATACGATTGATTATAATTTAAATGAGTATATTCAAGAAGGTAAGTTGTTGACTTTAAGAGAAAATCATTTACAAACATTGATATGTAATCACAAATATGGGTTTTGCTTTCCAGGAATGTAGCTGAAAATGATGAAATGTTGAGTAGTGTTTCGGCTTTGTTAGCAGCTCCAACCCACTACCCACCAAAAACTGCCAGACCATCTTCAAAACCAGCTACAACCAAAGGCAAGCCAAGGCAATGCCATGAGAGTCCGTCGCCTTCAGAAAACTCTTGCACCTGTGAGCGCTGTTGTTCAAACACCAAAGAACTCGAGTCAAGTTCTGAACTCTCCTATAGGTGCCAGCACTGCAGTCTGCCCAGCTCAAACTACAAACCCTGTCCCTGTTCATCTTTGTCCCAAAATGGGCTACCTGAAAATGAAGGAAGAAACGATGTGAGAGACAGCACAGGGGAATTGTGCTCTGGTACATGTTGTTTATTGGAGGATGTGGGGGCAAGTACCTGTACCAACAATGAATTAGCTGGTACAGAAGACTTGCATAGTAACTTGAATGGGCTAGAATACCGCTGGGACTGGGATTTGTCAAGTTTACAGTCAGAAGAATCATCTGATACTGAAAAAGACTGAATTCAATCTGTGTGTTAAAGATTTAGTGATACTTAATAGCTTGATTGATACTAAAGTTTTGCCTGCTCAAAACAGGAGGGTTATGTTATTTGAATGCATCACAAAGCTTGCAAATGCTGAAAAGTTTCCTTTGCTATTATGCTATATGTATTAATAAGCTATTATGCTTTAATGTCAACAGAATATGGATTCCTTGAATCAGTTGCAAACCTTTGAATGGTATAAGTATTGTATCTTCTAAATATTCCGCCTTAATACCAATCAAAGGTATTTTGCTTTTCATGCAGCGAATCACTACTTTGTTGAAACTTGCAGAACTTTGAAAGTCTAGCTTTTGGTTGTATGTTATCAGGTGCAATGATAAAGCACTGCCAGGGTGTAGTAGGGGGAGGGGACATTAACTTGTTATATTAATGTACATTACCAAGATTGAAGGCGTGAAATGTGCCAAGTGCCGTACTGCATAACGTGACCTACCTGTGCCTGCTGAGAACTAACTTCAAACAAACTTTGCGTATGTGGGGGCACCATAATTTTTCAAGTTCCACAGTAAACATGCCAACAAGTGTGATTGCTGTGATTCCCCGCCCTCTCCTGGCCTTTCATGCCCTTTTAGTTGAATTCATCTTGACTATCAGTCTTCAAACGTACTATTAGCGCACTTGAAAATGACGTTTACTTGTACGAAATCTAGGGACTTGAAAACCCTGCCTCTACTATCACGAAAATGCATGTGTTGGCACTCCTATTTTAGTTTTCTGATATGTACTATATGTGGTAAGCACATAAGTGCATCAAAAAAAAAAAAAAAAAAAAAAAAACAAGAGTGCTTGTGCGTGAAATTTCGTGTGACGTCTACATCTACATTTTGTTTGAAGTAAGCGTCTGTTTATCGACCCCCCTCACACACACACACACACACACACACACACACATGCAGTTGTGTTTGCGCATGACAAGTAACACATCTCTTGCATTTGGCACCTTCGGTTTTGGCGATCTTGTCACAGTATTCTGTCTTCGTCCATGTATATTTTTGTTGCAAGCCCAACTAATGTCGTCTGACTCTTATCACTCCTGCCAAGTTGTCGGGGAAATTGTGACATTGCAAGAAAGCGCCGGAAGGTCTCGGGAGACGAAAAAAATTATTATTATTATTATTGTTATTATTATTATTATTCAAGCTTAAAATGAGAATGCTGACAATCAGTGATCCACATGCATATTATGCAAAAATTCACCTTCACCAAGCTTGTTATATGTACCTTAATCTTTGTTATTTGAATTTAGATTCAGTTGATTTATGACCAGATGGGTACTTGATAACAAACTTTTAAACCTTCAGCAATGATTATGACTTAAGAATTTCCTATATTTTTCTCGTACCTCTATTTCTTAATTTTTGTGTGTCAGTGGAGGTAGAAGGGGGAGGGTTGAGTAGGTAGGCCAGCTCTGACACTTTGTCTCCATTCCTATGTTAAAACAAGTAGCACACAGGTGTGACAGGAATGGTGTTCCTAGGAATAGAAGTCCGGGGTCCAATATGATAAGTAAAGGCTGGGGTTAATGGGAGTATTGGGGTTAGCATCTGAGACGAACGTCACCTGTAAAAAGTAACGGGGATCGGATTACGGTGCCTATCGGACTGTCATTTCTGTCCCACCGACAATAATATTTGTACTGAAGAACTACATATCTTGGATTTCTTTCTTTTCAAATGTGCCCTTAAAATGAAATGCTGCTCAGGTACTGAGGTACATGTACAAATGTTGCAATTTAGCGTTTAAAAAAAGATAGCTCACAAAATCCACACTCAAACAAGTCATTCAGTAGCTCAACACCTGGGTCTTATTTTATGGGCACATTTTGAAGGAAGACAGCACAGTTATGTATTTCCTCCGTGCACATATTATTTTGCGTGCCTTGTCATTAGATAAGAAAAGGGAAAATATCAGGACTCCTTTATCTACTTAACATGCTTCTGGTTAGCTACCACCCACCTTGATTATTTAAAGGAAATTTAACATTCCTGTACCAATGGCAGCAATTTTCCATGCGTTACATAGTCCAGAAGTACTTGGGTAGACTGTTCTTGGGATGTCGGTAAAATCGTCCGATTTTCCATGCAGACGGTCCGTCCCCAAAGACGTGCTACGTGCTTGATGAAATTATACATTCTGCTAACTATATTATCTTTGTACAATCCATTCGCATGTGTATTGAAGCGAATGCACCAAACTGTTTAATAGCTTTCTGCATAATAAAATAAAATGAGTTATTGTCTTGAGATGATGTTTGAAACCCGAGACACTATATAGGATCGTCCTTGTGTCTTAAATTTTCCGATTTATTCAAGTTGCCCGTAAAGGTGTACAAACATGTAGTGTATCCTTTTTAGTTTATGAAAGAGATATCATAGCCCCAGATCGTAGAATGCCTTTGTACAATGCTTTGAAACGTATATAATGAATAAATAAAGCGTCTTGCTAACGTGAAGTATGAAAGATAAGTGTTTTTCTTATTTAAAGCCTAGGTCCCAACCGAACGTACCGGGTGCTACGTGTGGTCTACGGTCAAAAAAATGGGGAAAACGTGGGAGTTCGTGCGTGAGGAGCAAGTCCATCGTGCGAATTTTGGAGGACGCAAACAGCACGTAGAAACTTTTCACCAATTACTTGATTTCTTCCCTGCGATCTAGCTACGTCTTAGCCAGACGCAATTAAGGAACCTAAAAACCGTGCGTCCAAAACGTAGTTGGGACCTAGGCTTAAAGGGATAATAACTCTTCGTATGATATCTTTATTTCACAATAAAAACATTGTGAACAACTCATAGAAATATAATATATTCTGTTTTACCACAAAAACAGCAGTTATAGCTATTATTCTGATATCTGAACTTGTCTTCAGATCACTTGACTTCCATTGATGGCTGTACTCTGTTATAATCTCTTAAGAGATTTTAACAACAAACCAAACTTTTTAGAAAAAAACCAGGGACTAACTTTGAATGTAAAAATGGATTCATTAACCATTGGTAAGTATGGGAAAATTGTTGTTTACTCCAGGAAAATTCATTTTTTTGGCCAAAACAAAGAGTTATTATCCCTTTAACGAGTTCTTTACAGGCTGCTTGCCTCGTATTTGGAGGGTCTCGTGCAAAAGAAGGTTATTTCTTGTGTTTCAGGACTTCCGCGTTTGTTGAAATTGTCTTTCTAAAAATAGAATACAGGCCCAACTGGCAAAAATTAAGTTGAAATATGACATATAATGCCAGAGCATAATCCTACAACAGACGGCTACAATTCATTCACGTCCGACAGTCAATAGCTACATGCGAAATGCAGGGGCGTAACCAGACCATTTAAAATTGTACGCACAGATTTTGAAAATTCCCAGGTACGTTTATATTCCGTGAAAAATACACTGAATTTATGGAGAATAATATCATGGTTGGCTCAAAAAATTGTACGCACAGTGCATCCGTGCGTATGCCTGGTTACGCCCCTGAAATGCATGCCGATAAAAGAATCTTGGCTGACAACTATCAAAATTTTGATGTGAGTTACAAATGCATGTAATAATACCTGTAAAACAATATGCAGTGCAGGGTGCAGGGTTCTCAACCAAAGCAGCTGTTATACTTATCATGGAAAATCAAAGAGACGCTTTGCTTTTTGCTTCAATTTCAAAGTTGAATGCAATAGATATTTCTTAGTTTGATGGGGAATTTTTCTCCGTCTCAGTTGAATTACGTTATTGTTCATATTTGACAGAAGGACAAGTGACAGTGAAGCCAGTCTCCTCTCTCTTTGAACGCTGACTGCTGAGCTCCATAGGCCATATTTGTTCTGCGGATCTGTTAATCCGCGGATCAACTTTTTCTGAATGCGCATATAAATAGAAATTAGTAGTACACGACCTTGGCAGCGCAGGTGCTACCCGGCACGCGTGGAACGCGTTGAAAATGTTTATCACGGTAGAAATGGGTATCGCCCAGCCAACGTTGAGAGCACGGCTGTTTTTATGCCTCTCGAATGTAATAAAGAAAGAAACCATGGTGAAATTTCTTTTTAATGTTATCAAAATTGCTTCGAATGAGCGTCAGTCGCAGATATCTGTAGCTTTAAATGTTTTTTTTTATTCTTGGTGAGTTCAATCAAAAATTACAGGGGTTATTTTGGCAAACTCCCATTTCTGATTGATAACAATTCGGAGGTAAATTAATCTTCGGTATAACCACAGGTGTGGGCAAGTAAAGCAAGTAAAGTATTTTTTATTCCCCGTTTATTGCATTATACAGGGCGAGTTTTCAATCACGTCTCTATTTCATAATGAATTACTTTTACCGTATTTCTTGGTCCAGGTTTAGGTTTATTCCAGAGAAAACAACAATAAGTAATAAATTTTACTTTTAAAAATTGTCATGAGCTCAAGTGTGCGGACTTTGCGTGAGTGAAAACAATTTTAGCACTGCTTTGTCGTGACTCGATCCGGAGGAGAGGTTCAGTCTTTTGGCACGCAATTTTTAATTTGAAGCTCATAAAAACATATTTGGATTTTAGACAGAGTAAAATTCAAAATTAGCCCAATAAACGTTTATAATATAAAAAGGGTGCATATTTGTTTTTATTTTTTATTTTTTAGTTTTGATTGAAATGATTAAACGCGGTTAAGCTATCTCCAATTTACGTTTCATTGTGAAGTGCCTCCTATTGAAAATGCAATTTAAATACCTTTTGTTAAGACAAGAGGAATAAAGCAGAATTGCATTTTGATAGTCGAAAATAATTGGATGATAATACGATTGTCAGAGGCACACAATGGTCGGATATTACGTGATATCTGAGCTTTTTAACTCTCCTTTATAATGATGAAATTGCAGTGACGTAGCGATTGATTTTACTTTTTCGATTCGAATAAAATACATGTGATACATAGAAAGTTATCAGACTTTCCATTGCGATATTACAAAACTTTATGGGTGTTTTCCACCTTGTTGCACCCGACCTGGCAACGGGAATTTTTCTAAACTGGTGTCTGGAAAACAAAGAGGAAAATTTTGAATTGATTGCTGGGTGTTCATTGTTCTTGGTGTACGTTTGGGGAGGGATGGGGGGAGTGTGTGTGTGTGTGTGTGTGTGTGGGGGGGGTTCTTGCAGTTTGAAACGGGGGGTACGGGGCTTGCATGGTGACGCATTTTGAACGGCAATGCTATGCTGCACTGCACTATACATTCACTATATTAGAACATGAACACACACAACACACTCTCTCACACACAAAATGTCAAAGAGGGCGCTGACTGAATGCGCTGTGTCTCTTATATTCCAGCTCCTTACAGCAGACATGCTTCTTAAGTTTAAGGAGACGATCGAGGCATTACGTACATTACTAGCATTACGTACATCATAGATAGGATTAGACCAAAATAAAGACCCCCACGTGCATTCTCAAATGTTACTTTGCAGCTAGGACACTTCAAGGAAGGCTACGAAAACTAATATAGTTGTAGAAGTTCGGACAAAAAAAACGCTTCAGTAGTTAAGTTGGTTAGGCCTAAGTAGGAAAATTGAAAAAAAAAATAATACAGCACACAGAAAAATAAACGTCTTCCTCCGTCCCAGGTTCAGACACAGGAGCCCAAGGATATATATGTTACCTCGGGCGCTCCCTTCCGGGAATTTATTTACAGCTGACGTGTTGACCTGCGCAGTACCTCTCCGGTAGGGTTGTTATTAGCGGACACACATTGCGTACTCTCAGTCCCATTCATGATTCCGGCTGTACCAACTGTCGCCACTGAAACACTACCGACATTTCACATCTCAGAGACATCTCAGTGAAGAGGGAAGCAACGTGACGCAGGGCGCAGAGAGACTTTCAGCAACCAACCCAGGGTGTTCACGGTTGAAGAGCTATTCGTTGATATACGCCTTTTCTGATAGGTAGGCTGCTTTTATTATACACCTATGAGAGTTTAAAATGACTAAAATGTACAAACGTCTACTCGTTCTGTTAGCCAGTTTACCGCGGACTGACAGTATGATTCAGATATTTTACGTTGACAAAAATTTGATAAAACTTTTCTTGTAACAGGAATAATACGTACTTGGTGTACGTGCTGTAAACAGCATAATGAATCAATAAATCATTCATCACGTTAGAATATAAGATCAAATACCGAAATTTGAAAACAGGTCATCATTTGAAAGTCTGATTTAACGACGCATCAGATTATTCCAGCATCATAAATAAAAGAACGACCAAAGTTATTTGTGAGAGCGATTACTCTAATTACACGCTTATCAGAGCATGTCTGTTAGCAAAAGGCCAGTGCCAGCATGCATACAGCATAGCAATTAAACACTACCAGAGTGCTCAGGTCAGGTTTGACGTACTTGGTGTGAACTCGTTAATAACCTCGCTGAATTATTATTGAATACAACAGTATATATTTCTTATCATTGTCAATTTATCATTAAACGCGTCTCAAAGCATCTTTCTTCTATTAATACGAGGCCTTATTTAATCCTGTTATGTCCAAGCTCCGAATTGCGCAAATTTACACGATAAAATGAGTGAGGATTTAAGACGTCCCTAACCAGAACCTCAAATCACATTAGGCGACAAGTGAGACCGATGACCGTAAAAAAACAATGTGTTTATTTCAACATATGCTGTGATAAATGACGAAGGCTTGGTTTCGGCAAATAGTTTTGGTCTCCAATGAAAATAGCTATTGTAAAGAAAAAACTTCCTTTTTTTACAGGCTACTGCGTCATAATAGTTAAGCATAAGGAGAAAAATGTATAGGCTGGTCCCGTAGCTACATTGCCTATGACTTAGCAGAATCTATGGGTTCTATAGGCTCTAGGCTCAATACCGGCCTGAAGCCAGCAATTTCAAGCTAAGGGGTCTTTTTCGTAAAAAGTGGGCCTTTGACTGCGAAACCCAAATATTCAGGAAGCCTAAATCACATTTTGATTCAGATCGAACGTTTTTTCATGTCAATGTCGACCTTACGATGCCCCCCCCCCCCCCCCGCTTACTGTCTACGGACATGCAATAGACTACCCGATAACTGTCCAAAGTTACTGCCACGCGGTTAGCGGCAAAGGTCTAAATACTCGTGTTTCCTCAAAGCTACTTGCCATTATTGTTTGCCGACATATTTTCAGCTTCAAAATCAGCGGGTAATTTGTTACTGCGACATCCAAGCTTGAAACCTTTGATAGATGACACGCAGTAATTATTAGCCCTAAAAGCTTTTAATTTTCTGGTCTATGCTATGCAGCAGCTAAAAAACGTAAGGCTAATTAGGATCGATATTATCTCCCAGCTGTTTAAACGTTGCCAGCTGAAAAAAACTTTCGCGAAATTCATCATTGTTATTTTGATAAATGTGACAATAAACGACTTATAGGTTTGCACGGCAGGTGATAGTTGTCTCTGCAGTAAGATCAAACATGAATAATTCAAATATAAATCATCACGAGAGAGAGAGACACACACACACACACACACACACACACACACACACGGATAAACAGTAAATCAAAACAACCGGATTTCACCCCAGGAACTTGAGGTGAAAGTCATCTGTCATCACGTATCACGTTTAATTAAATATAAGTCAGTTTATATTAGACTATTTGTTAGTCCTTTGAATTTACCAATTGGGGAACTTGGAGACCCTGGGTCATTTCAAAACTATAAAGTCCCGAAAGCCGTTTCCGTAACGAAGGTGCACTTTTTAAAAAATTGAACATGACACCAGGACATGGTTTGAGCCATGGAGTGAAATGCGATGTGGATTTCGACCTAACATTTAATCATGCCATCACATTTGAAAGGTTAAGAAAGCATCTCCCGTGGCTTTCCTTGTGCTGTGTCGTTTAGCGTATTGTGACTTTTTGTTTGGCAATTAAAATTGATATGGAAATGTTTTCCACTTTTTGATCGACTTTGATCTCACCAGGGCGATTGAACACACTGGTGTTGTTGGTTGAATTATCACCATTATTTATTTTTTAGAAGCGGAGTTACTGTAAAAATTCCCTCATTTTTTAAATCTCTTTTTGTGTCTTTCACATTAAGAAATAACAAAAAAGATGTAACATTAAAACACGAAACATGATGATCGGACGAAGGGATCTTCTATCTTAAAGGGATAACAACTGTTCGTAGGATATCCATATTTCACTATAAATACATTGCAAACAACTCAGAAATAAAATAAATTTTATTTTACCACCAAAACGGCGGTTGACGCATTTATTCTGGAGTTGTGCTTGCCCTCACATCACGTGACCTCCATAGATGGTTACACTCTGTAATAATCTCTTAAGAGAATATTACAAAAAACCAAACTTCTTAGAAAAAAACCAGGGACTAACTTTGAATGTTGGAATAGATTCATTAACCATTGGTAAGTATGGGAAAATTGTCCTTTACCCCAGGAAAATCCATTTTATGGCCAAAATGAACAGTTGTTATTCCTTTATGTGAAGGGACATAATGCACAAGGGGAGGTAATTTCTCATAGCAAGAACGCTCTGATCGAAATCAACAAATGTGATTTGCATTCCACCAAGGAGTTATAACTCCTTGATTCCACTGCCTCGCCAGGTGTAAAAAACCGCGTTTAATACCGTGAACTTGTTGCTCACACACACACACATGCGGTAAACCGCAAATGTGCCGCGATACGGAATAGCCCATTAGCCAATCACATTGCCCGTCTACTCTCCGGCGATTTCATAGGAATCAGCCGAGATATTCCGAATGATCGACTGCGAAAGGTCTGTGATAACAATAAAGCCCCGAAGACATCAGTATTGAATTTGACTGTTTTAAGTCGACCGAGACTGTTGACATGAAGTTTAAATCTGGAACCAGAAGTTGATGGTACGCATGTACTGGTCGCCCATTCAAGATTAAGAGAGAGAGAGAGAGAGAGAGAGAGGGAGAGAGAGAGGGATAGAATAGAGAATAGAATAAAGAATAGAGGAAGTGTTTCTGGGTTGATAATAAAAAATCAGGTAATTATGTATTGTGCTACACGAGTAACAGTTTTATCCACTGAAACGGATACGCCATCAACTGAATAAAGTTTGGTTAAAAGCAACTTCACTGGCAATGAGCCACCAATTAGCATTTCACTTTTGCTCTTGCAAAACCTCTAATCACATTTTCTCACTTGGGGGAACGGCAATGTGTTGATCGTGTGTAGAATAGCTTTTAGCGCACACGGCGATGTCTGAAGCTCCAAAAACCACACTTATCCTTTGAATTCCCTTGTTATAATTAGTATCCCTTCTGCTAAAGTTGAGTAAAAGTGGAAAGTTTACTGAGAGTGAGACCATTATCCAAGAACGAATTCACGATTGAACAAAACCTGTAAGGAAAAATGTTTTAGGTGAATAACGAATCGTCCACACCTTACTCATTGGAACACCTTGTGAAAGCGTCTGGGTCTAATCTCAGGTGAAACTTAATGGGTGAGATGAGATTGGCCCTATCAGGCGAGACTGGCAGAGTCAAATTACGAGAGATTATAAAAAACATCACCATATACATCGAAGCATAATCAATAAAAAGACTTGAAAGGAAAATAAAAAGACTTGAAATTTTAATGAACTCTTGAGTCATTTTGATTGCATTTCCCTTTTTTTAAAAAAATTTTATGGTGTGTACAAAACCCCCGGAGGTAGGTATGCACTGACCGAAGGATAGAAAAATTAGATAAGATATTTTGTTACCATTTGTTGTATAGGCTAAAAGGTTTACTTTTTCACACACACGCTGGCATACGCACAAGAACAGGTAATATATTGCAATCATTGTCGCAAGACAAATTGTGATGTTTTGAGCCACATGCTGTGCATATTATGTTGCATATTGTTTTATCTTATATATGTATAATGGTATTGGTAGTTCATTCCACAAAGCTTATGCAGCCTTCAGGTTTTTAATAACGTACTTAATATTTTTCAAAGCAATGGTTTATTTATTCACTTTAGTCTAAAAGGCCTATATTGTCTCTCATTTCACAACAGCCTCAATGGTGCGTTGATGTCAATTTTCTGTTGGTTAAATTTTGTTTTCAGCATTATTTTATTTTACACATTACATTGATCGAAGGCTTCTTGGAGCTTAATTTTGTCCGTCTGTGAGGCATGCGAGGAAGAAGAAAGTATCAATATCAAAAAGGAGACAGATATCTCATCGCCTGGTTACATCAAATGGCAAACGTGTTTCTAAGGATAACATTAGCCTTTCTATAACCTTTGCAAGGTGTTCAGTAAACGCACGCGAATTGCAAACTATATGAAGCATCTGTTGCAAAATGCCATCCTTCAAAACCATATAATTGGGGAGTCACGCACTGGCGTTGGCACTGTGTTATCATCGTCCATGATGATACACACACCGCCTAGATGATAAACGCCAGCGCAAGAAGTCGTCTGGATGAAAACCGTCACAGAGGAACCCTCTACCAGGGTCACAGATTGATTTTTCACTAGATATTCACAGAAATGTCTCTGGTTAATTCTTTAATCTTTTCTCTACTTTGAGGGAATTTTTGTACGCAATGAATACCCTCTACCAGTGCCAAAGATTGATTTTTCACTAGATATTCACAGAAATGTCTCTAGTTAGATTAACGGTAATTCTCAACACTGTTTCAGAGAAAAAGTCCACATAATAAAAAATGCGGTCCAGGGCAGGGGGCCTCCAGTAAAGATGCAAAAGAGCTTTAACCGAAACATTGGTCTAGTCCTTTAGATCGAAATTTTGGTCAACCTCAATTGAAGATATACCCACAGTAGTCCACTCTGAATAACTTATCGTCTGTAAAATAAGCATTGTTTTTCTTACGATAGAGCAGACTCAGAGTTTCATGTAATTGGACTTCTACTGATTAGATTGGGAACAAAGTAGA